TAGTGGCTGAATAAAGGTTTATTTCCCACTCACATTACCTATTTAATACAGGTCAGCAGAGCTCCATGCCACACAACCATGAACACAAACGTCTTTAGAAAATGTGATCTCAGTTCGTAACATCCAGGATCACTGTAACAGAAGAAAAGAGAGCGTGGAGATCTCACAGCTCTTCTAAATGCCTTAGACTAGAAGTGACTACTTCCACTTCCACTTCCAGAACTAGCATTATAACACTGCCTGACTGCAGGGGGCTGGGAAATCTTTCTTGTGCCCAGGAAGAAAGGGAGAATGAGATATAGTGAGCAATACTGCCCTTAGCACAGATCCAAAGAAAAATATTTCACAGTGAATTCAAACAGTAAGTACATAAGATATACTAAAACCATGGCTTATAACCTACTCAAGACATATTTGTTTTCCACGTTGAAACCCAAATAGTCATAGCTCAATTTAAGCTATTGATAATATAGTTCTGATTATGATCTAAAGAAGTTTTTCTATATATACCAATTACCTTCACCTAAAAATTTTTGCAAAATCTAGTAATAAAATTTCCGTAAGTACAAGAGTTTCCCTCTAAGAATCCAGGGGGTGCAGTAAACTTGGGGCTAGCTGTTCAATCAACGACCTGCTGTTTACAAAGGTCCCTTCAAACACAGCTGCGAGGTGTTGTGCTCAAAACTGCAAGTTTACCAGATTCGATGAAAACTCTTTCAGAGGCTGGCTGTTTTCCCCCAAGAAGCCTATATGCTGTACAACCTATAAGCCATTTGTTCCCCTTGCCATTTGCTGGCCAATTTCTTTGAGAAAACTGCTGTGTGACTGCTATATGTTTTAGACACTGGGTCACATTACTGTTGTAGTGTTCGCATAGCACTCAGGGTTCTCCAGGCACATTTTAAATGATTCTAAAGCTGAGAAGAGTTGCCAAATCGTAGCTTCCACCAACGCCCCAACCCCATTATGCTCTCTGGCTTTCCAGAGAGGTGTTGTGTAAACACTGAAGACACAAAATGGACAAAAAGCCACGGTAGAAATTCTACAATAACAAACAAACAGCAAGAGCAGTGGTAAGACTGCAGATGTCAGTTGCAAAGCTGGCATGTATTTACAGCGTAGGCAGGCGGTGATTCCAGGATGGAGGAGGGCGCTCCGTTCCCCTTCCGCTCTCTCAAAACAGTGTCTTATAAGCAGCAAACATGGTTTACCTTCCCTGTAACTGACCAAAAACAGATGTTTGATTAGTTTTTAGGATAAAAAAGGGAAGATAAATAAAAATGTTGCAAATCAAAAACTACACTGAAATAAACCATCAGGACTAATACTGAAGCTTTCTCCTCAATATGTTAGTTGTCCCTTCGCCACTACTGACCCAAGAAAAGGGAATTCACAGGCGTATGTCCCCACACACTGACTAAAAACACGGTGCTTGAGTTTTACTTCCTAAATAAAGTCCTGAGTTCTTCCCGCACCCCTCCCACTCCCATATAGTTGTTTTTCACTTCATCCACCCACGGGAAACTTCTGCAGCCTCATTAAACCAGACTACTAAAGGCTGTTCAACAAATGAGTCTGTGCTTGTCTCTCCCCTGAAATCCAGCTGTGCTTACAGGAACCAAGGACCTCAAAGTGCAAGGAGTTTGACCTTCTGCTGCCTAGAAACAGTGTGTGGGCCACCCACTCTATCAAGTGCACATAAAATCTCCACTCTTGAAATCACTTTTTCAGTCTCTTAAGTGCTAGCGTGTTCCTGAAACTTCTGTCCCCCTGTCACCGCAAATTCTTGCTAAGCGATGTCATCTATTTTCTTGATTTCTGTAATGCTCTGTCTGACCATCTTTATGTTGATGAAGCTCAAATCCTTAGATATGTCCCCAGTCTCTTTAAATTTGTTAATGTCCTCAACTGAACTCAACATTTTCCCCTTGTTCTAAACATATTTCACTGCCAGGTGTCCTGGCCAGAAATCTGACCATCATCTGTGACTCCTCCCTCCCATCTTTAATCAATTAACTGTCCAAATTCCTCCTCTATCTAAGTTGATTACTGCAAGAGTGTCCTAAGTATTCTCCCTGCCTCTAGTTTGGTCCCTTTACGATTCATTTTTTCTACACTGAAACCAAAAGTTGTCTTTCTAAAATGCAAATCTCGTTGTTCGCTTGTGCAAAACTCTTCCATGTTTTTCTCTAGCCCTCTGAAAGTAACATAACTTTTAAGAGCCTTTATGGCTTGAGCCTTTATGTTAACTTCTTATCTGCATTGCTTGGCAATACTGTGCATGCCCCTACATTCCAGCCATATGCAAATGTTCATTTCAGCTGATATGCCACGGGCATCCTCCTCACTGGATCTTGACATTGGCTGTTCTCTCAAAATATCCTTCAGCTCCTTTCTTCAAATCTATCTTTAATTCTCCTCAACCTCCCCTAATTTCGCCTGAAAGAACTTCCTCATCCTTTAAATTGTATAGGTTAAACAAAGCCCAAGATTCCTTATCTGCGATGTACATTAGACCTTCCTCAGGTGTGGCCCCTCAGTATCCTGTAGTTTGTTCTTAAGGTGTGCTTGTAGCTGACTGTGAATGTTGTACCCACACTGGCCACCTGGCTCCATGGGTGGAAGGACGGTGTCTGTCCTACTACTGCTGGATCCCCAGAGTCTAATACAATATCAGACACATAGTAGGTGTCCAATAATTAGTTATTCAATATGTGTTAAATGAAGCAGGGTGAATAATTTGATGTCCTGAGTCCTTGGAAGCTATATACCCGTCTTCTAAAACAGGAGGTAGCACATTTCTCTTTTCTGTCTCTTGGTGTGCCCCGTAGTGACATCATATGAAGATAGTCACAGTCTCTGCCTGTCTCTGCCTGTCTCATCCCTGAAAGCTCCACCCAAGGTGAACATTTTCTTAGCCTTCCGTCTAAAGGAAGAACAAGCTGTTGCTTAAGGAAGTATATTCTGGGAAGAATATAGTGCATAAAGTGTCAGATGGAAGATTTAAATCTAATTGAAGAAAATGACTATGAATACAGCGTAAAAATCATGGTTGCCCATTTTCGTAGTAGCTGTGACAGCCTCTCTCTCATTTTTTCTCTATCTTTCTGAACACGGTTTTATTGACTCTTTCCTGTTGTCTCTTTTTTCCTGACCTCTAAACTCAGGTGTTCCTTAGAGAGGCGTCTATTCACGCCATAGGCTCTCCTTAGGCAACGTGCTCCATTTCCTCATTTCCCAAATCCATAGACGCATCTGAATGAAAAGGCTGTATCTTCAGTGGTCAACGAGAAGGTCAGAGGTTACCAGAGTCCCAGCCATGAGACCAAAGCCATCTGTCCACAGTAGTGCTGTTGGGGTGTGGAACCTGAGGAACATTTCAAGAACCCTTTTGGTGTGGGTTTTTCACACTCTAACTTGGTAACTCTGGAGCTATGTTAAGAAACCCAAAAGAGGCAAAATGAGTAATGGGAGCCAAGATGAGTGCCAAGAAATTGGAGTTCGATGACATTTGAAATAGGAGATTGGAAACAACCTGGAGAGATTTTCTATATCCAGCTGTTCACTGGCCTTGGCCTCTGGAAATGGTTAAAGGTATTGAAAAATAGAGAGCATAGATGTGTGTGTGTGTGTGTGTGTGTGTGTGTGTGTACGACATGCCTAATTGGCATTGATGAAGATTCTCTCCTTGACCAAACTCTAGCCAGGCTGCTCTGAGCCCTCTTCTCAACTAAGCCTCTGCTTTGGCCTAGAAAAACTGCAGGCCATCAATACAAATGATTTCCTGCGTCCCTACCCCCAACATTAAAAGACTTGAACTAGTATGTTGGGGTGTGGAACCTGAGGAACATTTCAAGAACCCTTTTGGTGTGGGTTTTTCACACTCTAACTTGGTAACTCTGGAGCTATGTTAAGAACCCCAACATACTAACATAGCTGCTAACAGCTCCAGACCATATTCTTAGACTGAGGGATCTAGCACCATTAAGTTCTTGCCTGAGAAAGCCCAAAGCTGCCAGAACAATTTACTGTCTGTTACAGCCAGCACCTGAGATGAGGGCCCTGTCTCCCAGGCTCTGAGTGAGGGTAGGAATCTAACTTTGTAAGCGCCAGTTAGCAAACCCAGCTTTCACACATGGACCAACCCCACTTTACTGCTTTTTTAAAACGTCCACTTCCTGCTTCTGCTCAAGGACTCACTGTTCCCCCTCCCTACTCACTTGTTCTCCCTCTATAATGCCTACTTGCCTCTGCACAATTTGAAGTTGAGTTCAGTTCACACTAGACCCACTTCTTTATTGTAATACTTTATTACTGATCAGCATCTGTCTTTACCACTTCAGCTGGTGTCTGGTTTTGTTTATCTTCCACAGCATCTTCAGCCATGTGCACTCTGCTATCTTGGTGGCTCTGATCCTTGAGGTCAATGTGGCACTTAGGAGGGTGACTGCCTCCAGGGAAAGCTCAGTGGGCAAGAGGACAGAAACCAACCAGACAATGGCTGCAGGAAGGCTTGGCTCAGATGCAGGCATTGGGGGTGATGTGTTTTAAAGAAAGAATATTTTTAATAGAATAAAACACTTGGATCCTCAGTGGAATATATTTTTGAAGAAATATTCTTCGCGGCAAGGATTTTTAAACAAAGGAGTGTTCTGGTCCCATAAAATTACTCTTTTGCCTTCATTCCTTTCTGCTAACAAATGTGCTGTTTTCTAAATCTTTCATTTTCTCCTACCTATTTAAAACAATAACTTAATAAAATTAGTCTTATGAGTATCTACACACAAGAAAATGTTAATATAAGAAAATTTATTATATTATTTGATTTAGGAAATTGACTTAATTCATACAATCAGAATTTATTTATTCTTTAGCCATGGTCTGGCCTTTTAACTAACATGTGTTACCTTGACAGTTATACAGGCAGTGTTATAACATAAACTTATGTCTTAAGGGTCCAGAAAGCAAATTATATTAAGACAAATAAGATAAAATAGAAAGTAGAGACCCTCCATGGATTTACTTAGATCCATTCACTTAGCATTGATGCATAACACATTCCAAAAGCTAGCGTATATCAAATTTAAAATGGATAATCTTCATTGGGTTTAATAATTGGATTAATGGTCAAACACTTTTCATTGCATACACTTTGGGGGGCATGCATTACATTCCTTATTGATATTTTTATGGAATTAACATATCGATTATGTGTTTTGATAGAAATAGGGATAATAATCATGGGAAGGAGTAGCGGTGGAGAATACACCTCTTGCTGCTGCACAGAATACATAAGGTGGGGGATGACAGCAAATAGCTAACCTGTGCAGAGACCTAAATGGCACATGTTGGCACATGTGGGTAAGTATAATGTTTATTAATCTAAAAAATGAGAAAATATTATAAAAATAGAAGAAGTAGAAAACCCTGGACAAGTTAAAATACAGAAAAAATTTAAGCAAAGTTATTTGAATCAGGCAATATTTAATATATCAAATATTAATCTTAGTAGCTATGTATAAAGTACTCTAAACCCAAGACACTAACCATGCCAAAAGGCAGCAGGCTTCCTCACCACCCCATAGTTCTTTGCCAGGATTAGTGTTCTCTGATTACACAGTTGGGCACCCCCTGGTTACAATAGTACTTTTCTTTTATTATTGATATTACAAAAATAACCATTCTCTAAATGATTACACATAGTAAATAAAATTAGAACTATATATAAGGATTTGAATAATTGCAATTTCTTTAAGGGCCACTTGCAACTTCTTCTGTCTGTTTCACAGACCTGCAGAGGAGAAACAAAACAAAAGAAAATATATTTAATAATATGTCTATAGTGCAGCATATTAAAAAGAAAAATTGGGATTTTAATGCTTTACTCTGATGAACTTTTTATAATGGTATTGACATTAGAGTACTACATCTATTAACCATACTTTGCTACTCATATTTTAGTTTTTGGTATTTGTATAAAATCCTAATCAGATTAGGATGGCAAGGGAAAATATCCATGTTTCTAGGATAATTTGTGTGTTTTTTTTCTGCTTTGTACCATGGTTGTATTTAATATTTTTGATTCACCAATTAGACCATAAATATTTGAAAGGAGAATATCAATCTCCAAATTATTCAAAGAACCTGAAAGAATACTTCATTCATGGCATCTGCTCAATAAATATTTATTTGATGGGAGGGGATGAGGGAGAGAAGGGAAAGGGGAGTCCAGTCATTTCTACATATACTTTTCCTTTATCTGGAATGCTTTTCTTATTCTAACCAACCCCAGCTAACTCTTTTAGCTGACTAATTCCTATTACCCCTTAGGTCCTAACCTTAAATATCACTTTCCTTTGACCCTTTGACTCCTAGTCAAGGGAGAATTCTCCTGCCGCATATATTTATCTCACCCTAAAGCCTCAATAATAATCAGCAGCAGCATTTTACATAAATAAAATGTGTCTTCTTGACAATTTAGAACTACAAGAGGGTGCCGTGTCACCCATGATAACAACATGTGCTTTTCTCTGGCATAGCTCCTGATCCATTGCAGGCTTTTATTAATTATGAATCATGTGTATGATTTGCTCAGTGAGAGCTCTTGCAGCAAATAGCAGTTTGCCTATACGCCTTACCAAGATCATTTGAAGGACTGAAGAAAAGAACATCACGATGGTTGTGTATGTACCTATAGTGACAGAGTTACTATGTGCAAGAGATGCAATTATTGTCTGTGACACAAAAGGACAGAGCCAGAAAGATGGTAGCTATAAGGATTCAGAATTTGGAGCAAAATAAGAGAGTAGTTGCTTTTAAAATAAGCTTTAAAGTAATACATGTTTATTATGAAAGTATTCTAGATAAGCAAAGAGCTGGTATCACATCACACAGAGACAACCACTGATGGCAATTTCATTTGTAACCACTCAGACAGTATTCTGTAAGTGTAAATTTATAATTGTGTATGTGTCTGTGCATTATATAGAACAAAAATGATTTACATGTAATATTCTGTCTGTGGCTTTATTTTTTATATAAAAATATTAGGAAAGATTTCTACATATATATAGGGAGAGGTAGTATCAGAATATATATATGTATGTGTATGATTTTATCTCATCCTTCATAATAGATCCACAGTTTTCCATTATACAGATTGCTAGAATTTTTTAAGTCATTCCTCTCCCATTGCTCATTAGGTTGTTTCCATTTCTTACATGCCTTCCATGTTTTATTACAAAACATGTGGCAATGCACATAAGATTCTGATAGCTACATGATGGTGCATTGCAGAGATTATTTCTTTAGGTAATGTTTTAACACAGAATTATTGGGTCAGTGAATGATTAGAATGAGCAGCCAAGGAAGACAGCAATGTCCCCATTGCTCAAGGTGTTCATGCAGCATCTAGATGACCATGTGCTGGGGTACTGCAGAGAAGTCAACATTAGATTGAGAAAGGGGTACATGGTTCTAAAGTTCTTTCCAATATGATATTCTATGATACTGTGAGTACTGAGGGCAAACTCAACTCCTTTGCTTCTCTCTGGGATGTACACGAGAGAAGATACAACATTTTTTGTTTTTTTTTTTTATGTTTGTACATCCAGTTCATATAGTAGCCTAACATCCATGGATGTGAAATTGTTCTGAGATGCCGTGACTCCAGGACATACGCAATGGTGTCATTCAGTGCATAGGCTGCGCAGTGGGGGAATATGTTTTTCATCTCATAGCTATCTAGAATATATTATTTCTCCTATCAAGGAGAAGGAGTTTAAAATCCCCATCCTACCACCTCAGCATGGGAGAATGCAGACTAATGAGGACTCTGAAATTAATAGAATACCACAAATAAAGGTAAAAAAAGGAACATTATGCAGAGTACTTGAAATACTTGGAGGAAAATATTTTCTCATTAGAGGTCATGAGGGCTATGTACTAAAAAATATCTGAACTTAGAGCAGCTGGAGCTAGTACCCATAATTACCTGACATAGGTATAATAGTAAGTGCCCTGAGCAAACGTACCAGAGTAGACCAGTGCAGGACAAGAAGAGCATGGGACACAAAGAAGGAGGTCGGCAGAACCTGCACAATGAAAGAAAAAGAGATAATGTGCTGGACCAGGAAAAATTATCTATTAAACACCGTTCCCTAGTGGTTTAACCAATTTCTAGTGAAGATTAACAGACATTAATATCAAAACTACATTTATAGCATGTGGCGAGTTACAATTACATATGTTAACTGTTTAACAGTATGTATATCTCCCGGTCATATTTCCATTTAAACTTTCTAATAAAATCTACTAAAAAAAATGCCCCTGCACATAGTGTTCTGGATATACATGTAGACTGTGGGAAAACCCCCTCCAGATTGTAGTCATAATTCTAATGCCCAGCACGTGTTAGCCCTAATACATCTTATTCAGCCTTGGCTGTATATGTGTTATGTATTGTGATTCCACAAAATTTATATTAACAAATTAGTACCATCATCATGAAGTTATGAGATTTACATTTACATGAGGTAGTATATATACACATGCATATCCACTATATTTATAACGTCTGGCAAGTACTGTTACTTCTTAAATGTAGTTCCCCTGAATGCAGCCCTGAGGCAGAAGATCAGAACGTGAGCCTGTCTCTGAAGGAAGGGAAAATAAGTACCTAGTGAGTCAATGGGACATGACTCATCACTCTAGTCGAAACAGCACTTACCAATGAATAATCTATAGAATTAAAAAAATGAGTGCTATATGAGTGTTATATGAAAAAACATCTGGGTTGAAGTTGGTGATTGTATATGAAAGGCTGATACCGTATACAGCTGGAGAACTTGGTAAATTTTTAGAAATCTTACACATAGAAAGGTCTGGAAAAATAATAATGACGCATTTATGTTTTAGTGTTCTTTGCCACCCAAAGATACTAAAGGTATCTTAGTATTCAGGGAGCAGCTGGATTAATGTTCTGTATTAGTCGTTCCTAAATTGTAGATAGAGTGTATCAGAATCACCTGGAGGGCTTTTTAAAACACAGGTAGCTGGGCTGTAACATCAGTTCCTGACTCAGCAGATCTGAATGAGGCCCAAGAAAATTGTGTTTCTTACTAATTCCCAAGAGAGGTCGATGCTGCTACTGCTGGTTTGAGGACTGCACTTTGAATATCACTGTTCTACGTAACATGCACTTCAGGCTGAAGGGTGAAGCCAGCTGTGGGCTGACACATTTGGAGACAAAGGAGTAATCAAGTGTCTGCATACCAAAATAAGGGCAGCTTTAATAGGAAATAATTGTAAGGGCAAGAGGCTTGGGATGGACAGTTGATTATAATAACCTGAAATTTTAGAGTTAGATGCTATTTGCCATTTGACAAGCAAGAAAAAAAAATAATAATAAAAACAAAGCACAGCCTTAAGGGATCACTAGATTTGAGAAGCCCAAGGAATTATAATGGTAGAACATTAAGTCGCCCAAGTAGAACTTAAAATTTCCTAATGATAAGAGTTGTGTTAGAGACGAAAACGGTGACCTGGTTGTAAGCATCTGATATGAAGGAAAAGAAGTGATTGGTAAGATAATAATGGCCAGGAAAGTAACAGGACAACACGACAAATGTCATGAGCCTAAAAAGGAAAAGAATTTCAGGTAAAATGTTGATGCTACCTCATGGCTTCTTGACACATGGCAATTGAGAGGAGCAGCTTCCCCCAGAGAGAGGCTAACAGGGACACAGTGTCTTCTAGGAAGAACTCGTTTCAAATAAGACAAAGGCATATGGAGGATTCTTGAACAGCATTGAGGAACAACTAGTTTTCAAATTAAGTTCTAGTCCCATAGGGCACAGTACAAAGATCTGGGAAATATATCAACAGTGGTTAGCCCTACGAATACATGAAAAGATTTTATTTTGATGGGGGCAGTGGGACAAGGCAGAGTGGCCAAGGGTAACAGGGATGAAAGACAGAGTTAACCGATCTCAAGTCTCTAAAATGAAGTTTGGCATAATGTTTTTCTGGCTCGGAATCTACTTAGGTGTCTAGCCTGATACTGCTTCCCTCTGCTTTGAACTAGGACTCCCTACACTGGGGATAGCCCATGATTTCCCATACTTAGGGAAATATAAGAAATAAAGCAGCCTTGGTGAGGGAAACAGCAAGCAAGAGAGTAGCCATCAAGTCTGGAAGTGGAGACTGTATTTATGTATGTATGTATGTATGTATATACATACACACACACACACACATATATATATACACAAACAGATTAGAATACTTTGGCATTTCATTTCTTCTTGAGGATAATGCACTAAGGTACAGGTTTATTCAATAAAAAAAGCAGCACAATCACCTGAGACAATGCCTCACAAATGCTTGCGTATGGACTGAAGTAAATTCTATGTTAATGCACCATGTTCATTGCAACTCTAAACTATGATTACTGCAGAGAAACAATACATTGAACATATGAACTGTCATTGAACATATCCTATTTTGTAGCAAATATCAATAAACCACTTACTACATGCATGTGTCTTATGTTTTTAGATGTTCTGACCTTCCTGAATAATGAGAAGACAAAGATGAAGACTTAGGCCTGGCCGTTTCTTGAGGGACCTTTGAAAGTCACTTAACCAATTTTAACTAAATTTATTCATTTATACATTTATTAAATTCATTCATCAAATACTTATCAAGTAAGTTATACATGCATAAATATAAATTAAGTAAATATTTGTTGAACAATGTAAAATAGGAATTTTAAGACTGAATTTTTCCTAACAGGTTAATTTTTTTATAATTTAGTTGGGAGCAATTTATAAACTTAAAGCCTTATATAAATGATAGAAACTTTAAAAAATTATTTTAAATGTTAAATGAATAACTCTTTGTGTCCTAATATAAAGGAGACACTCACATAGTATTTGTGTTTAAGAATACAAAAAAAAGCTATGTTTTTGGTCTGAATAATGTTTACTTATACTAAAGATGATATACAGTTTTGAGATATTTAGTCAATATTTCAAAACAAGTCATTTTGAAGAAATTTGGCAGCATGCTTAGAACAGTTGTTCTACTTTTAATAGCTTACTATAGGATTGAAAACATGCTTAATGTAATTACCAAATGCTGTTTATTTTATTCTGTCAAAATTTTAATTTTTATGTTTATCATATATGCCTCCCTTAATTTTCTGGTTGACTTTACTTGTAGATAATAATTTGGAACACAGTGTAAATATAACTAAATCAAGTTGAAGTTTCTATTAAAAGCAGATTTCCTGTTCAAATGTATTACTGCTTCAGTTTCTTTATATGTTGCTTTTCCTTATTTTCTTGTTTTATAGTGTTTTGTTTATGGTATAAATTCTTTCAGTGCTCAGTGAAATAATTCCTTTCATGATACTATCTATACACATATCCTTCCTACCCTACATTTTTTTTTTTTTTTAGCTTCTAGGGACAGAGTGAAATTTCAGAGTACAGCATGTGGCCTTGGGTTGGGTTAGAATGTAAATTGCACTTATTGTGTATTTGGGGAAAAAATTATTTAACAAATCTGAGTTTGTAAAATCAGAGTATTAACTCTACATAATAAGTTATCACGGGGATTAAAGGACATACTACATGGTACACACACAAAAATTTAATAAATGTTAGTCCTCTTCCATTTTCTCCTCCTTTGGAGATGCATGTGTTTCTATATAAGCCTTAAAATGTCAGTGGTACATAGTAGGCTTTAAGGAGAAATGAAATGCTATGATTCTAAATATATCCCCGAAATAGATTTTGTAGGTCTATTTTATGTTAGGCCATGTGACAATTTTCCCAATTTGTTATTAAATTAGATCTTTCCCAGAATGTATGCTGTCTCTTTCAGTGAGAAAGATTTATTATGCCATATTTTTGGAGTTCTGTGCTTAGAATTCTTATTCTATCTTCACTTTCTCTCTTTATTATGCAGGTAGTTTCTTCAGCTATCCGTCAATATTCAGACTAGGACTTCTTGTGAGATCCTAATAACAAATATTTCGCTACCTCCTATGAGACTGTGCTAGTCACCTTTTATACTAGCACAAACCATGGAAATACACTATAACATCCACTGGAGGGACCATTTTATTCATTGATTTTTTTTTTTAACTTACGTCTGAAGTAGGAGAAAAAAAGAATAAAACAATAAAGTAGGTTTGGATCAAAGATGGTATAGCTGTAGGTACCCGAATTAGTAGGCATGATTATTTACATGATGAAAACCCTGAGTTCATACAGCCTGTGAGAATATCTAAGAGCATTGCATAAAACAACCATAACACCTGTGAGCTCATCCAATAGAGAGGTCACTCTTTTTTGCCCCAAATTAATACTATAACCCCTGCCTCCTCTGCAGTGCCAAGGTATATTAGAGGCAACATATTTAATGTAGGAGCTATAGAATAATTAAGAGACAGAAAAATAAGCTGTAGATTCACAAATGAAATAATAAATCATTCCTGGTTACTAAGTGAAAGGGAAAAAGTATTTGGTAGAGAACCTCAGAGGAGAGCATTCTCCTTTACTTCCATGTAGTTAATGTGCCTCTGATGGCTAGAATCTGAGATCTGAGCCACCGTAGATGCACCTGAGTGTGAGCACTCTCTTTGCAGTGTACTAGTCTGGAACCACAGGGAAGAAGCAGGACCTTAGACAAGTTTCTTGACTCTTACTTTTTTTCCACTTCATCACACTCACCAAAAAAGGAAATTAGTCTCCCACTGAGATAATTAAGTGACAGATGTGTATGCTCACAGTAAAAAGGTGAGTCGTTAGTAAATTACAGTGAACACTTAAGAAGAGGCTGGGAACAAAATTGCATAAAGGAGTGAAAATACTATGTCATTAATAATAACATCAGTAAAGGTTAATAGAAACCTAATAATAAGTGAGAAACAGAAGTCCTTGTAGGAGAGCAGATAAACTAAATACAATCATCCTTCATCCCTTGGTATCCATAGGGTAGTGGTTACAAGACACCCATGGATACCAAAATCTGAGGATGCTCAAGTTCCTGATATAAAATGGCATAATAGTTGCATATAATTTAT